TTTGTTAATACAAGTCACGCGCAAGTAAACTGTTCTCTCATTGGTCAAAGTTTCACGGTTTATTTTCCGGGATTCCACTCAGCTGTCACAGCTGTCATCTGTCAGGATGGAACGATAACAGCTTTGCGGGCTTATTGTTGTTTTTTTTGTTTTTTTTATAGGTGTCGTTATATTAATTTATCATTTTGAGCAGGAGTCCAGGATTCATCGGGAAAACATTTTTAAAATGCACATACTAGGAAGAAGAGCAATAAGATGGCATTATAAAATGAAAAAGCACGCTTTGGTTTTGAATGGCAAAGACGTGCTCACCCACAGACATTCACATGGTTCATTTTGAAGTATTAGCAAACAACAAAGCGAATGTTTTTCAGGGAACTTACCTAATTACCCATTATACATTGTGATATAGCCTGGTTCGTTGGTCCGTTAGATCGGATTGCTTTCTCACTACAACCGAACCGCTCCAGAGTTCGTTTCCAATCGAGCCGAGACCACCTCGTTCAGGCGATCTCGCACCGATTGTTTTGGCGCGGATCTGAGCGCGATTGCCGTGTTCACATATGCCCAAACGAACCGAGCTAAGGGGGGAAACACGCCAGGTTCCGAAACAACGGGCCAGGTGTGAAAACACCCTTAAACACACCTGTACCAGTTAATCAAGGTTTTCAGTCTCACTAGAAACCTCCAGACAAGTAAGTTGGAGCTAGTTGGAACTAAAATCAGCAGGACGTTGGCCCTCCAAGAGCAGGATTGGACACACACCTGCCTTAAACTCTAAGCTTTGTGGGAACATTCAAACTGTCACATTTTAAATTTGGTCACCCTATCTAAATTTGAAAGAGGCCACCAACACGTCAGAATTCACATTTTTTGTGTTTAAATTAGGGAGTGGAGTCCAAAAACATACACAAATGCTTTATTTATTTATTTATTTGTCATATGTTTTGTAGTCCATTCTTTAGTAACTGGTTTATTAAACCTTTGATTAAGAATATTTACTGCCTATTCTTTTAATGGATAATAACTTTTGTGATTGTGTGTGTATAATTCTCTTTCCTGGTCAAGGCTGCAAATTTAGGAAAATCACTGTTTCTCCAGTTTGGTCTGAGAGAATTTCCACGTCTCACTTTTCTCTACTTGTACCTGTTTGATTATGAAGACACCTTTCTACCCTTCATACACACCTGCTGTCCTGCACACATAACTAATGCAATGCAGGATATCCCACCTGACAACATACTGGTTTGTGTCCGAGATCTCTCCCCATTGTAAACTTACAACAGTTGAAATATTAGAACAGGGAGTAACTGTGTGTTTGTAGCAGGAGCCAAGCCAACTTCAGTGGGTGAAGTTTCATGTGAAGGTTTTTCTGACGCCCTATGTGCTACTGATTGACTTTGCTTGGCAATGGCTGAGCGTTCATTACTGGATATCATGGATTGTCATTGGTAATGCCATGGTAATGACAGTAATGGAGTACGTTTATGTCTGGACACTGTGGAGAAGAAGACAGATGAGGTACACACATATACTTATTCTATATATACAGTACATACTGTAAATACAGTGTAGTTATATGCGGTTGTTTGATTCGATCACAAATGATTTGAATCAGATAACCTGAAAGATCTTAAAACACCAATGACTTAATTTACACACGATATAGAGAAAATTGCTTTACACTCCACATCCACAAGTCAAATATTGTGTGTTTGTGTGTATATTTCAGTACTCTCCCTAAGATGATTCTGCAGAAGATGTTCAATATGTTCTTCGTTGTGCTGCTGTGGCCTCTGATGCCTCAGTTCTTCTGTGACTTTGAATTCTACTGCGGACTCTTTTTCAGCTCATTCGTTTATATCTCTGTTCGGAAATCTTTTTTTTAAGCTGGCACAGCAATAAATACCTAAACATGTTAAGATTTTCTTTTTCTTTTTAAGAGTCAGAAAATTTGACGTTCTACAGTACAATTGCTATTTTTATTACAAAATACACTTGCTTGAATGTAATAACAAGGCCATATTTTGTGTGTCATTCACCTAATAACCATCACTTCAACCAACAAGCCTGCAGGGTTGCATATTAGCTTTACTTAACCAACTATAATAACTTCACTATTAAGCTTCACAGCAATTAAGCAAGTGTTTTCACTTTTTTAACATTGTTATAATATTTTTCTATATTTATTTGATTTAATTCATCTTTAGAATCTCATCCCCTCAAAAACCTAACCCAACCATTAAAACCTGGAGTGAGGAATATACCCCCTTGTCTTAATAAGGAAATGTTTTAAATAACTAAGCATACCATAATAACTGCACATAATGCAATATTTATTATATTATTAATTTCATAAAATGTTCATAACGTAATCATTTTCTCAATAAAATCTTGGGCTCATAATATAATATTAATTTGTACATAATGAGAAATCTATTACATTATAAACTGACCAAAAATATTGTCAATGTCATAATTGTAATAGTTTTTTTAAACATAAAAACATTAGCATTCCCTTACAGAACATTTAAAAAATCTAAGTCTAATTCAAATAGCATGAGATTATGCTATTATTATTATTGATAATGATATTGATATTATTAGTATTATCACGGTACATTACTTCTTATATATACATCAGCCAAAGACACTAAGGCTTTAATTAAAATACAATATAAAAGATTATTTAATTTGACAATAAAGAGTTATACTATATATACTATATTATATTGCAGTTTTTTCTTTCGTTTTGCTTATCTGTTAATCAAGTCAAATATATTTAGCATATTTATTCCTTTCATATATAGACTATGATTTTATGAAAACAATTTTATTATTTTTATTTTATTTTATAATGTGACTTATATACAGTTTTCCTTAAATCATCCTGGCGAACCATTTTTTATGTCTGGGGTTTGAAAACCTGTGGTGTAGAATATAAATAACTGTATCTCAAAAAAAAAAAAACACAAAAAAAACCTAGAATTACATAAAAGTGTAAACTTTATTTATTTATTTTTTTAATTTAGTGCATAAAAACTAAAATGTGTTTCTGGGTTAAAGTGACTCAAAATGATCAATAAGATCAAAGAATCAATAAAAAAATAAAATAATATATATATATATATATATTCACAATATAGCCTAAAAAGCCTAATTTTCTTTTAATGTAATAGCTTATTTTACATCAAAAACTATTATTATGATTTGTGCTCAGATTTATTATACTGAAAGATAATTATTATATGGTAAAAATTGTTTTATATTATGGTATTTTCTTATGTAATGTGATTACATTATAAGTTGCCAGTTTTCATAAGTAATAAATACATTTCTCATACAATAAGCATTACATTATGTGAAAAATTATTACATTATGAGCTCAAGATTTTATTACATTGTGAAAAAATTATATTATGAACATTTTATGACATGAATAATGTAATACTTTTATGTGCAGTTATTTTAGTATGCTTAGTTATTACAAGTTGGTACACATACTGTAATAGCTGCACATAATGTAATAAGTATTACATTATTAATGTCATAAAATGGTTCAAAATGTAATCATTTTCTTAATTAAATTAATAAAAACTAGACTGAATTTTATTGCAAATTTGAAATTTTTAAAAAATAAAACCAATTTAAAACAGTGTTGTACATCATTGCTGCAGTTTCTGTATTTACTCATTTGTGAGACCCCAGTCACAGAAATGTTGTCACTTTTTATTTCTCATATATTTATCTGTTTAAACATCAAAACAAATACATGGTACTGGTAGTTTCTCCTGACAGCTATACTATTCTCACATTTATAATGTGTCATTTTCATAACAAAGTACTATAAGTAACTATGGTTTAGTGTGTTACCATCTCTCTATTATGATTTTACTGTCAAAGAAAATGTTTGTAATTGTTTCATTGCCTATTTCTACATTATTTTTATGTTCATTAAAATATTTGTCATCCTCATCATTACTGTCCTCTTTTATGTTTTAAAATTATGATCTAATTGATTGCAATTTGCACAGACCTGTTGTTGTAGTATTATGATTTACTTATATTGTTCATTTATACTGAGGCTGTAAAATAAAAAGCATCTCCAGTTGAACTTGTCAGGCCTATCATGAGTATCATATGTGTTTTATGTGATGTGTATGTGTTGTATGTATAAAATTACAAATAATGTGCAGGTATCACTTGAGTCATTATGTAAATAAGTATTTAAATGTTATCTTCTTCCAAGCAAATAATTTACCGTTTATAAAAATGTTTAATAAAACAACATATCAAAGTGAATACTGAACATCAGTTCTCAGAATCTGCAGAAAAATGTCTTCCAGTGTCAGCTTAATGTTGTGAATTAAATTAGAGTACTAGTAGTGAGAATGTCTAATATAATGTTTAATTCATTGTTTTTCAATAATAACAACAGAAAGTTTAAATATTAATTTATTGTGCTGTTCAGCTTTAACCCTTAAATGCATACCTCGGGTCTTTAGCGACCCGGGACGTCATTCACTGTTAGGTAGCACCTCCCAACATTTACTCAATGTCTGGTATCATAGCGGGCAAACATGGATTGACTCCAGTTAAAGAATCATGCACGGGATGAGTGTGTCTCCAATAACACTGCTATTTATTCCAGACCAGCAGTAATATCCATTAAATTATATAAGGCACATTGAGGTAGAGTACCCGTTACTTTGTGGTCTGTAACAACAAATAGAGCGCAGCAGTGTTCACAACAGTCTGTGAGCCATGATAGTTTTTAAAGTCTTTCTTTTCAGAGAGCGACTCCAGGAACCTGTGAGGAAAAAACAGCGGGGTAGAGGATTACAGCGCTCAAGGCCCATACCTCACTCTCTCCACAAAGAGAGGTTTCCCCCGTCTCGTTCTCCCACCCAGACCAGCACCCCTCTGCCATCGCGAGCGACCTGGTCTCGTTTGGGGGATTGGATGACGAGCCGCTTGATGACAGTATGTCCCTAGCAGCCTCGGACGCTGTGGATTGGTCGGGCTCCGTTGCTGACCCCGTCCCCTTGCCGTCTGTGGAGCCGATCGACGTCCAGGGTTGGTATGGACACCGAGCTCATCCATGTCCTATCAAAAGCCGTCGAGGAGGAGCTTGGATTGGAGTGGTCTTCACCTAAAGAGCCCACTCGCAGTCGCCTGGACGAGTGGTTTCTGCTGGGATGCCACCAGACCCCTCCTCAGCAAGCTGCACCCTTCTTTCCAGAGGTTAACGACGAGCTGACGAAGTCGTGGCGTGTCCCCTACTCAGCTCGTTTACGCTCCTCTGCCTCTCCCGCCCTCACTACGGTCGACGGCGCTGCGCAGAAGGGCTACGATAAGCTGCCTCCTCCGGACGAAGCGGTGGCTGCACACCTCTGCCCCCCTGCTGCCATCGGATGGAAGGCAAAGGCCGCTCATCCCTCGAAACCCTGCCGAACGACTTCAGCCCTCGCTGGTCGTGCTTACACCTCGGCAGGCCAGGCTGCGTCTGCGTTACACTCTATGGCGGTGCTCCAAGTGTACCAAGCGAAGCTCCTTTGCGCCACGGATGAGTCTGGGCCAGAACACTCCGCAGCGTTCAGAGATCTGCGCAGCACCACCGATTTGGCCCTGCGCGCCACAAAGATGACTGCACAGGCCATTGGGAGGTCGATGGCCAGCCTGGTGGTGCTGGAGCGCCACTTGTGGCTGAATTTGATGGAGATCAAAGTTGTGGCTGAATTTGACGGAGATCAAAGAAGCGGATAAGATCTTCCTTGACTCCCCAGTCTTTCCCGCTGGCCTTTTCGGACCTGCTGTGGAAGGGTTCGCCGAG